TCTAGTGTATTTTATGAATAGAAGACATCCTAGATAGTCTTCCAAACCGAAGGGAACCTCAATTGTACCTTCAATTTAAACATAATTGGAAATATTACATTAAACCTAACCAGATTATTAACTGGACATATAAATAGCATTTTCACACTTTGTCGAGAAAAACACATAACCCTAGCTGTTTCTCTCTCGGTGGCGATTTCAAAGGAAATTTCCAACGATGCTCGTTTCTCCATCGTTCTCATCCCCGGTAAGCTTGTTTTCTGGTGAATCTTGTTTATCCTTCATGGCTGTAGAGTATTTTAGTAGATTAAACTAACCCTAGTCATTTTTATATTTGAACCATTGTGTTGTCGTGTTACTCCTCCGCCGCTGGTAAGTTCTTCCTCTTTGTTGTCGACTCTTTGCTTTTAGACTTTTTACTGACTTCATCTTTCTCGTCGAGTTTTGCAGATCTTTAACCGCTATGTCTTCGGTGGCCATAACTTCTCTGCTTTGGACCGTAACTTTGCCGCTTCCTACTGTAAGTTCATCTATTTATTCGATTTGTAACCGTTTGATGTATTGGGGTTTCACCTCGGATCTGTAGGCTTAACACAATTTTGAGATCTGTATATTTTATTAGGGTTCTACTGGAAGACCTCGAAAGACCTACGTGAATTCTTTGAGTAAGTCTTCCAAGGTCTTTGAGTAAGTCTTTTAAAGTCTATGAGTAATGCTGGTTTTTAAGTTGTGCATTTCTTCCTGACAATAAACATGTGACCATAGAGTCACGTCGACTTGCTCCAAATATGTTGCAAGCTATGGGTTTGCACTCCGTATCTCGTCCATGTACCGATTAAAATCATAAAGTGTATGAGCATATGCAGCACCTTTCACCAAGTACAAGAGATGCTTTCCTTCATACTTTTGGACGATGCTCTGTTATAGGTGATAATAACATATTCCTCGATTGCCCAAGGAAACACTTTATCACATGTCTTTTTAATGGCTCTGTGCCGGTCGGAGACTATCACCAGAGCATACTGATCAGATATACAACTCCATAATTTAGTGAAAACCAGTCTTAAGATTCATATTGAGCATCTATGATTTTAAAAACCAATGGAAATATCTAAAAATTACCATCTTGTGCAGCTACAACTAATATAACATCTCCATACTTTCCACTTAGGTGAGTCTCATCCACCACCATGATCCGTCTCTGATACTGAAAACCAAAAATAGAAGCTCCAAAAGACAGAAATAGATACTTAAATCTATTCTGCGCATCAAGCTCTATACTAGTGATAGAATCCGGATTTGTTAATGCGATTTGCTCCAAATATGAAGGCAGCGGCTCATATCCATCTTTTGCTGATCCTCTCACCAATTCTTGCGCATATAACAATTCTCTATATGAAGTGGTGTAATCTAGCTTCATGTTAAGCATGTTCTTCATTGCATCTTTGATATGCTGCGGATTTAACCCATTAATGATTTCAACGTGATCTATGAAAAGTCTTACAAACATACTTCAGAGTACAATGTTTTCAGGAGCCATCCACAGAACATATATGAGTTTTACGATACTTGGTTACTCAAAATATGTTTGTATCATGTTTCACACTCGCTCTAAGCTTCCATCTGTACCTACCAACAAGACAGTTTGCCACAAGTAAAGTTTTTGTTGACCTGTATATTCGGAAAGAGAACTTATGCTCACCACTGTCAACCGCAACTCTGAAACAAAACTTACGATCCACCGCTGTCAACTGCAACTCTGAAACCTGTGCATCCTTACTAATAAAACTTTGGTTGGCATATATATTCTCAGCAATGTTGCTTCCAAACCCTCAGAGCACATATCTTCTTCTTCCTCATACTCATCTTTAACTTTTTCTATACTCACTGTAATCTTCACGATCATCAACCGGATTAGAAACATCAGAAAAATCAACATCTTCCTGCCTATCATCATTTTCATCTTGAGGCATATTATCATCATCTTCTTCCCCTTCATCATCTTCTTCACCTTCCTCGTTTTATTCACCTTCCTCATCTTCTTCCCCTTCATTTGAAACTTCATTACCATCATCAGATCCTTTGTTTCTCATCTTGCCTCGGCTTGATACACAAAGAAATACATCATGCGTTTTAGTTATCTCGATCAAGTTCCAAACTTGTCGATCACTAGTAACATGAATATGAGGAGTGTCTGGAGCCATCTATTGCATAATTGCTTCTGGTAATGAGTAGGTTTAACTCCACAACCTTTGTGTTCATGTTCAGGTTATAATCTCCATGAGCCATTTCGACAAGTTTGGCATGTTTAGAACCTTCACTTAAAAAGAATATTATCGCTTCTTTAAAAATATCAACTAGAAAATCCTAAGAGTCATCTTTCACCAAACATTCTTCGTAGACTACAATTAACTTACGCATTATCGGCAGAAAAAAAAATTAGAACATACTAGCAAACATAGAACATCAACTTCAAAAAATAAACCTAGAAAACTTAGAGAAGTCTTCTGTCATTAGCTAGAAGTATTAATTTACATATTTGATAATCTCAAAATTACCACCAACTACAAATTTCATTCAGGAATCCCAGCATTGACTAATACACATAAATTGACAATAAAATCTTAAGAAGTCATTTTATATTTGAAGAAAATTAAATTTTCATATACATGTTGTATAAGACTTCTACGAAAATCTTCTTGGAGAAGACTTCGGTGGAAGTCTTCCATTTATGTCATTTTTGCAATTGAAAATTTACAAAGGAAGACTTCCAGAGAAGTCTGCTCTAAATATTTCTTCGTAACATTTTCTTACTTTGGTATTTAAAAACTTCACGAAAATACCATAGAACACTTCCATGGAAGTTTTCCGAGATAAACAAGTTAGTTTTGCAATTGACCGAATTGTGTCAGAAATTTGACTTTCTACAGAAGACTTCTAGCAAACTCTTCTCAACTTTTACAAAAAGTCTGCTCACGGTCGATGGAAGTCTGCGTAGGTTAGTTTTGAATTTGAGCATATTTGAAATTTGCAGAGAAGAGTTTATTTCATTACCTTAGGTTTGACCATAATCACGGAATAACCATCTGGAAGACTTCCAGGTAAGCCTTCTGGTGGAAGACTTACATGAAGTCTTCTAGCGGAAAACTTACATGAATTCTTCTCGTTTAAGTTAAATATTTAAGTTTTAACTGTCAATTTCAAACTCAACCAACACAAACTTCCACTGACATTTAGCAGACTTAAAGTAACAGTTGCAAAGACTTCCCTGGAAGTCATCTAGTGGAAGACTTACCGAAAAGCTTTCTGTAGAAATTCAAATTTCTCATAGTTTTCGGTCAATAGAAAAAACTAACATGTTTATCCGGGACTCGATTTTTTTGTCAACAAAGAAAAGTTGGAAGACCTCCTGAGAAGTTTTCTCTAACAAGCTCACACAGAGTCAATTGCAAAACTAACTTATGCTTTGACCAGAAGACTTCTGGGGAAGTCCAGAAGACTTCTGTGGAAGTCTTCTCTGACGAGAAGACTTCTACGAAAGTCTTCTTCGCGAACAGATCTGGGAAAATTCGATTTCATACCTTAAACTAGTGAGATAACTTTCTTAGTTCTCCAAGCACACATAACTTCACCAAGAATGCAACCCAATTGTTAATGATCAAGAATCATGAGCTTCAATGGCTATATGAACCTTACAAGCTTTAGATTAAAAAATATTGGATAATTTGGATGAATATAGAGAGAAAGTGAGAAAGATCTAATTTATATGCAAAAGAAATGATATAGGATGAGTTAATATCTATTTTTAGATGCATTAAGAGCTTCACATGGGTTGTTTATAGTTGTTAGGTGAATTGATGGCAATGGCATTTTCGTTACTGGATACTTGATGAAGATGACGATGATAATATAAACACTAATTTTCGGAAAAAAGTAATGACATTTTCATAAATATTTAGAGCTTTTTGGGTGAATAAAACAAGTCAAAGTTCCAAAAAAAAAAAATCATATATTAGTTTTGTGTTTGACTTTAAATTTTGCGTCATTTTTGAAGCAAGCTATTTATCATATCTACTATTAAAAATATATATTTAAAATCGTGTATATAATTGTTTCTAGAGTATTATATATATTTAAAATTTCTATAACGTAATCCATGATATTTAATTGTTTTTATAAACATATCATATTTATTGATTTATATGTAAGATGCTTAATGTTTTGTTTGGTAACATATATTAGATAAGATAGCTTTAAGATTTGTTTACTTTTTAAAACATTAATTAAATAAATAAAAATTTAAAAATCAATAACCAATCAACATATATATATGGTTTTGAGGATTAAAGAGAGTACGTTTTTTTTTATTTGTGTAAATATTTTCTGTCAGAATGGTCACTTCTAAACGTACTCTCTTTGTGAAAATATGCTTCTATATTTGACATGTCAGAGCTTTGAAACGAATTACAAAGAATTGATTGCCATGATCAAAGAGTCTCAAGCTTGACCAAGCTTTATACAACAGAACTAGAGAAGATAGAGACTCTCTAGATATGCTTCCCAGAGTTCAAGAACACTCATATTCCACGTGCGCAAAATCAAATTTCAGATTTTTTAGCTAAGACTGTTAGATTCTTCAATTCAATAAAAAAATATTTTTTATTGGTTGTTTTATTCCGGTTATCCGGACTAAGTCCAATTTGTTGATTCTATATTTGTCAACCGAAAATTCTCGCCTTGAATTTGGAGCCTAACTTCTTCCGCTTACAATTAGTATACTAATTGGACTTCAAACGGAATTCTAAAAAGATGAAAGCCCGATGAAAGCTCAATTAGAATAATAGTAAGCGGAAGAAGTTAGGCGCGGCCGAAGCAGAATTCGAAACGCACTCCAAGTCCATCCAACAAAGTCTCTCGGCCACCGCTATTTTTTACAATTCAGTTTTGTTTTTATTATTTTTAAGAAAACAAAAAGTCCATAACACCCTCCCTCTTCTTCCCGCTGTTTCCTCTCTTTCTCTCCCAATCTCCCTCTCCCTCCGACAAACCTAACCGAAGATTCTCGCCGCGTAATCGCTTTTCGAAATTTACTTTTTACTCCGACCCAACACATGGCGGCGACATCGAACGAAGATCCGAGTCTCTCCTACAACCACCGTTCTCCTTTCCGCTTCGAGCTGATCCACTCTATCTCACCCACCGATCCGCTCTACTCTTCCTCATCAACTCCTTCCTCCACGAATCGGCCTCACTCAATTCCTCTGCCGCTTCCGGATACACATTCGCCGCAAATTCATGCTCACTGGGACCACTCCTTCTCCCCGATCACTCAGAAACTCGTGAGCATCTCCTCTCACTCCATCTTCCCATAGATTCTTCGTCTTAATTCACTTAGACTTGATTTTGTTTTTTCTTTTTTTTTTGACGAAAAGAATTGAATGAAGTTTTGTCATTAAGGGAAACACAATCTAAAACTGGATCACACATTTTTCTTCTTTTGGTGTGATTGTGTTGATGATTGATGGTTCACTCTTTAACTCTTTTATTATCTTTTTTTTTTCTTGCAGCAGAAAAGTAGAAAGAATAATCGTATACAAAATGGATCCATTTCGAGTTCTAACATGCCTGGAGAAACCATAGACATAGCTAAAGTCATTGTCAAACAAGATTCTCCTCAAGACCACACTAAACGTGGAACCAAGTCAAAGGTTACTAAACACTCCAAAACTGTGAAGCCAGGTTTGTAGTATCACTCTAAGCTTAATCTTTAGTTAATAAGCATTGTGTGGTGATTGTTTTATGTGTTTGTGCAGAAGCACAACAACTTGGTGGCCCTAATGGAAGTAATCACTGTCGTTATGATAGTTCTCTAGGTAAATTATAAAGGAACAATTCACATCTTTAACATTCCGCAATTGTATCATTCATTGTCTCTTTTCGTTTTGGCAGGTTTGTTGACAAAGAAATTCGTCAACTTGATCCGAGAAGCTGAGGATGGATCACTTGACCTTAACTACTCTGCAGATGTTTTGGAGGTATGCCTAGTAATTTTCAAATTGTAGTCTTCCAAACTCGTGGAAGCTGAGTTAAGAATGTGGATTAAAAGCTCACCCATTTATAACCTCTTCTTATGTTTCCTATTGACAGGTACAGAAAAGAAGGATATATGATATTACAAATGTCCTTGAAGGAATTGGATTGATTGAGAAAACTACTAAGAACCATATCCGCTGGAAGTAATTTACTTACACAACGTCGTTTCTTACCGAGAGATACATGGCAAACCTATTTTTAGCTTAAGTTCTTCTGACCTTTGATGCAGGGGTGCTGACAATCTTGGACTGTTGGAACTGGGAAATCAAATTTCTACGCTTAAGGTTCATAACTACATATTTCTCTCTAGTACAACTTTCTACATTGTAATTAACAATCACATGGTCTGATAGTCTAGAAATCATGATTTCACTCTTTAATCACATAGCACATGAGATGTTCTTGCTTTTTCTGCGTTTGCATGCTGAACCCCTATAGTTTATTGATACGCTTGTTACACCTCTACGTGTTTTCAGTTAGAAGTAGAAACTATGCAATCTGAGGAAAGCAGATTGGATGACCTTATAAGGTTTGTTGCTCTATCTTCTGGAATTTATTTGGAGACTTATCCATTATTGTCCCTTCTTTACAATGGTTTAAGATATCTTCATGTTATATATATCCCCAGGGAAAGACAAGAAGCTCTCAGATCCTTGGAAGAAGATGAACATTGTAGAAGGTTTTCATCTGTTTATTTGAGTCTCAGCTTTTGTATTCTACACGAAAACTTTGCTAAGATCAATGATGGAACTACTTAGGTACATGTTTATGACGGAGGAAGAAATAACTAGCCTCCCATGCTTTCAGGTCAGGTCTCTCTAACTAATTCTTTAGATATCATGTAGTGCTTTCTTCAACGTATTAAACTGGTAGTTCGTGATACAGAACAAGACACTACTGGCAATTAAAGCTCCTACAGCTAGTTGCATCGAAGTTCCAGATCCTGATGAGGTAAGTGCTTGTTTTCATATTTTCATTTAAAGTGTATAGCTATAATATAATGTTTCAAAGGAATGAAGTTATTATTTTTTCTTATGATTAGGTGATGAGCTTTCCGCAGAGACAATACCAGATGGTGATTAGGAGTAGGATGGGACCGATTGATGTCTACCTTTTAAGGTACTTAACAACACTTTTTCACTCTCTCTGTGTCTGGTCTTATATTTTACTGATCTCGGAACAAAACATGGTTGCAGCAAATACAAAGGAGACAGTATGGAAACAGATGAGTCTGCAGTGGATACTTCATCCTTGAAAATAGTAACTTCAGATACTGATGTAAGTGATAGACGCATGGGTTTTGAAGCAAGTCTTATGTTCGCATGTTGTGCTTGAAGTCAAGTTTTGTTTGTGTAATGCAGTTAAAAACAGATTACTGGTTCGAGTCAGGTGAAGAAGTGACTCTCACTGATTTATGGAACAATTTTTGCTGAGAATCAAGTTCCATTTTCTGGAGGGACGATGAATATTATATATCTACTTGTAGTATTTTTTTTCTACGTTTTATGAGCCTGAATCCTTATAGTTTTGCGGGATTGCTCTTTTTCTTTCTTTAAATAAAAGATGAAATATTCTAATGTCAAGATATATATATATATATATATCTGGACAATTATGTGACAATACTTGTATATTAACAAAAATATATAATAATTAGTTTTTGGCCTTTGGAATTGGATGTCAAACCAACTCGACAACAACTTGCAAGATGCACACACTACACGTACGCATGTGTAAAATGTTGTTTCGAGACTAGTTTGTCTCACACTTGGGGCACTGGTCACGATTATCAAACGAATTCGAGACTAATCTGTTTGACACTTTGGGGAATTGGTAACAACGATTAAAGAGAAACAAAACATCAATTCGACTTCAAACTCTTAAGCCTTACTACATTAATGTTAGGACTACCAAGATTCAAATCGCCTTCGATTCGCACAAATCTCTTGATCTCTCGCTCTCTTCTCTCATTTGATCTTTAACGAATGTAAATGAAGTGTAAAACAAGAACACACACAAGTTGTTTACCCAGGATATCTCTCCGACATGGAGAATTAATCTTTAGGGCCAGATTCAATCTAGAAATCCACTAGAATGATTCTCACGTTTGTAAGCTCTGAGGTTGTTACAACAGACTCAGCTTCAAGATGATAAAGAACATTGATAACATCATAGCTCTGTATATTCTCTTATATACCTCGAGAGTTTACAAGTAAACCGGACTTTAATTAGACTCATAGAACAAACCGGAAATTGCTCCAAACTGGAAACAATACCGAAAGTCTCTAATCCTCTAAGTCCATCAGAGACTATGACTCACCTCATCTATCACTTATAGCCTATGATTAAGTTAAAATTCACACCAATAATCTCCACCATGAACTTAACTTTATCATAAATATCATTCTACTTCCGTGAATTACCTTCTGGATTTACACCATCTGGCGAGTGCTAAAACCCTTCAAGCTTTGAGTACCTTAAGCATGTTCAACGCTGCATTGAACTTGCTCACTGGTACTACCTTCGTCAAGATATCAGCCGGGTTCCTACTTGTATGTATCTTCACAACATCTACCACCTTAGCTTCAATGATGTCTCTGATGAAGTAATACTTAGTAGCCACACACTTTGTACTCTCGTGAAATACATTATTCTTTGAGAGACAAATCGCACTCTGAGAATCACACCAAACTTTGATAGGATCTTGCGTGATCCCAAAATCTTCAAGTAACCCCTTCAACCATATGGCCTCCTTTACAGCCTCAGTGAGAGCAATGTATTCTACCTCTGTTGTAGATAAAGCCACCACCGGTTGCAATTGTGATTTCCAGCTAACCACATTATCTCCCACAGTAAACACATATCCAGACGTAGACCTTTTCTTATCCAAGTCTCCTGCATGATCTGAATCACTGAAACCTTGTATGTTGAACTCCTTTGACTTCGTATAAGATAGCTTCAACTGTGAAATCCCCTTGATATACCTCAGTAGCCACTTAACTGCTTCCCAGTGAACTTCTCCCGGCTTACTCATGAATCTGCTTACCAATCCAATACCATATGCCAAGTCTGGCCGAGATCCCACCATTGCATACATTATCCTACCAACTGCAGAGCAATACAGATGCTTCTCTGTATCTAAAAACTCCTCCTTCTCTTTGACTGATGCTAACTTAAAATGTGATCCGATTGGTGTTAAGCAATTTTTGGCTTCTGTCATTCTGAAATTGCTGACAATCTTCTTCAAGTATTCGCTTTAAGATAAGCGAACACTCCATTTTCTCTTTCTCGAATAATATCCATACTTAATATTCTTCTTGCAGATCCGAGATCCTTCATTTCAAACTCTGGACTAAGCTCTTCTTTTAGCTTTTTCACTTCTGACATGTTTCTGGAAGTAACATGTCATCTACATACAGTAGTAGATAGACATTCTCCTTTCCAAATTCCTCTCGAGTGTAAACACATTGATCACGTTCGCTTCTCACAAACTTCCTTGACTTCATAAACTGGTCAAATCATTTATTCCACTGACGCAGTGACTGCTTTAATCCGTACATAGATTTCTTAAGCAGACACACATGATCCTTCTTATCTGGAACTTCATACCCTTCTGGTTGATACATGTAGATATCTTTGTCCAGGTTCCCGTGCAAAAATGATGTCTTTACGTCCATTTGCTCCAACTCCAAATCTTGATTTACTACTAGAGACAACAGAACCCGTATCGAAACGTGTTTAACCACATGTGAGAAAATCTCTTGATAGTCAATACCCTCCTCTTGAGTAAAACCTCGTGCCACCAATCTGGATTTAAACCTTTCAGGTTCGACTCCTTCTATCCCATACTTAATCTTGAACAACCATTTGCAACTAATGATCTTCCGGCCTTCAGGTTTCTTGACTAACACCCACGCCTCATTCTTCTTCAAGGAATTCATTTCCTCATCTGTTGACTTGTTCCATTTCTCCCAATCTGGACTCGCTTTAGCTTCTGTAAGATTTCGTGGCTCCTCAGCATGCATCAACTCCGAACACATAAGTGCAAAAGCCACTTCTTCTTCTGTACAATCATAATCATTGTATTTCACTGGTGGTACAATAGTTCTCCTTGGCCTATCTCGAGCAAGCTGATAATTTTCCAAGCTTACTCTAGCCACTTCACTGTTGCTATGTTCTGAAGTTTGCTGAGTGTCAGATTCACCAGTAGCATTATCACTCTGAACAGCTCCACCATTTTCTAAACTTCCAGCATCTTTAGACACTTCCTCCATATCTGATTCTGACATATCTTCTGATAGACGAACTCCACCATTTTCAGTAGACTCTGCGATATCTTCTTTACCCTCTAAATCTTTATAAGTCATCTCTTCTTGGAACTTCACATTTCTTGAGACAACACACTTCTCACCCTCTAACATCCATACTTTGTAACCTTTCGTGCATGCAGGGTATCCTATGAACATTCGTTTAGCTTCCCTTGGCTTTAGTTTCCCTTGATCTACATACACATAAACAACAGACCCAAACCGTTTCATATGTTTATAACCAGGTTGTTTACCTAACCAAACCTCTTCATGTGATTTTAAATTTATGGATGCTGTTGGAGATCGATTGATCATATATGCTGCTATGTTCACAGCTTCTGCCCAAAATTCCTCTGGTAAACCAGACTCATTTAGCAGACATCGAACCTTCTCCATGATAGTCCTATTCATTCACTCGGCTATCCCATTTTGTTGAGGCGTGTACGTACAGTCATGTGTCTAGTGATGCCATTTGTCTTGCAAAACTCGTTAAACACCTTATTGACAAATTCTAGACCATTATCAGTACGCAAGTATTTTACTTTCGTATCAACCTGATTCTCTACTAAGACTTTCCACTCACAAAACTTAGTGAAAGTTTCATCCTTATTTTTAAGCAAACATATCCATAGATTTCTAGAGAAGTCATCTATAATTGAAAGAAAATACTGGTTACCAGACAAGGACGGTGTGACACTTGGTGAACCACAAAGATCAGCACGTAAATACTCTAGGACATGCTTAGAGTTATGATGTCCTGTCTCAAAGCTCACCTTCTTTGTCTTACCAACCATACAATGCTCACACATCGTATCTTTCCCAATATCACGCTTCTCCAATGCACAATTTCTTACGAGTACCTGCAAATTTCTGTAACTCATATGACCAAGCCTACTATGCCATAAAGATACCTCTTGTGTCTTTCCCACATAGCATGCTTCAGATGTTAACGTCTCCCCATCAAGAATATACAGGCCATTCTTCAAAGTTCCTCGAAGTGCCATCTTGTTATTCTTATGAAATACAATTTTCCCATCTCCTCCAAAATGAGTAAAACCCAACCTGTCAAGAGTACTAGTAGAGATCAGATTTCTACGGAGAGTTGTAACATATCTAACATCTTTCATACGTTTAACAGATCCTCCCTTTGTATTTAGTCGTATGGTTCCTCGTCCTGATGTTTCGATGGAATGGTAATCACCAAGCAAAATCTTTGTTGGACCTATCTCTGTGAACTCCACAAACCAATCTCGCCTACACGTTATACGGTGAGTACATCCTAAGTCAATAATCCAGTTATCTTGAGCATCATCTGCTGACGAGTGTAAAGCACTCATCTGCTCAGTTTCTCCAATGGCCACTGCCACTTCTCCACTGTCCTCAGCTTCCATTCGTCGTTTCCTAGCACATCAATCCTTCTTGACATGGCCTTCCTTCTTGCAATACCAGCAAGTGACCTTTCTCTGTTTTGAGTTGCTCCTTGACCTTCCTCCTCGTGAGTCATGTTGCTCTCTACGTCTTGATCTTCCTCTATCATTTGTATATAGAACCGTTACAGATCCTTTCTAAGCTCTGCTACTTTTGTTGATCTCCCTTTGTTTAGACCTTGCTGCTGAGATAACTTCCTCCAGAGTTATGGATTCTTTTCCATACTTCAATGTATGCTAGCTTTAGCTGATCATAGCTCCCTGGTAAAGAACTAAGAAACACAATAGCCTGAATCTCATCAGTAACACTAACGTTTAAGCTCCCCATCTCAGTAACAATCTTCAAGAATTCATCAACGTTAACATCGATCGTCTTCGAGCCATCACACTTAAATGTGTAAAACTGAGACTGCACGAAGATCCTATTAGGAAGAGACTTCGACATGTATAATCGCTCTAAGAGTGACCACATTGAAGCTGCAGTAACACAATGCTTAATCTTTCTCAGAACATGATCGCTGATATTCAAGATTATCATATCTTTCGCTCGATCATCTTTCTGCAATTTGATTGGATCTACGATCGTCTTCGTTTGAGAGGAAGTAGATTCCTCTTTCTCCTGATCTTCATCATCATCTGGTTTCTTTCCGTCTCCCTTTGTTACCGGTACTTCGATCTCAAAATTATCCGAGAGGATAACTTCTTTCAATCCAGAGACTCCGAAGTGTACCATCATTCGAATCGTCCACAAAGAGAAGTCGCCGGTTCCGTCGAAACGCTCCACCTCCGCTCGAGTGATCTTCTTCGCCATCAACATCGATCTTGAACCAGTTGGGCTTGATCGTGAAACAACCACGCTCTGATACCACTTGTTACGACTAACAAGATTCAAATCGCCTTCAAATCGCACAGATCTCTTGATCTCTCACTCTCTTCTCTCGTTTGATCTTTAACGAATGTAAATGAAGTGTAAAACAAGAACACACACAAGCTGTTTACCCAGGGTATCTCTCCGATATAAAGAACTAATCCCTGGGACCAGATTCATTCCAGCAATCCACTAGAATGATTCTCACGCTCGTAAGCTCTGAGGTTGTTACAACAGACTTAGATTCAAGATGATAGAGAACAGTGATAACATCATAGCTCTGTATACTCTCTTATATACCTCGAGAATTTATAAGTAAACCGGACTTTAATTAGATTCATAGAACAAACCGGGAATCGCTCCAAACCGGAAACAATACCGAGAGTGTCTAATCCTCTAAGTCCATCAGAGACTATGACTCATCTCATCTATCACCTATAGCCTATGATCAAGTTAAAGTTCACACCAATAATTAACATTCTTTGTTCTAACCCTATGCTTGTTTAATGGAAAATGTAACACTCTTTCTAACTTTCTCCTTCTTGTTTTCATCTACTCTTAAGGAAAAAGTTATGATTTTGATTTTAAACACCTTGGGCTAAAGTTCACTTTAGCAACTTCCACTGAAATCATGTTTGAAGCACGCTGAAAAAGTTTTTTCTAAAATTGTTATGAATTTTTAAATTTTGTCAGAGATATCTATGTTCATATCTGATAAAAAAAGATTTATGACAAAAGAACAATGTAGTTTTTTTTCTTTTTTCTTTGTTTCTTTTGGCAATTCTTTCTTAAAATTGTTCGATAAGTTATCATAAATAAACGGAAAAGAGTTCATATTTAAAAGTTTATGATGTTTGAATTTGAAAGACTTAATCAAGTTTGTTTGCGTAGTTTAGTTATATATTTTGGCATGTTTTATTAAAAAAAAAACTTATTCCTATCTTACAACACAAAACTGACAAGAGTTGCAATCGAAATATTTTTTTGTCTATGCGTAGTTATCTCTAAATCATCAGGCATCTATGTGTGTGTTCTAAAAAGACAGCTATCCCTAAATCATATGCTTAGTTATTGCTGTGTTTAATTGACACAATAAAGTTATTATTTGTACATGTTTTATCTTATGGATGAAGAAATATTATCTCAGGTAAATATTTGATTAGATAAAGACTAGTCAATATAATAAAACATAATGATCCTTAGACACTCTTTGTTCGATAGGTAAATGGCGCAATCTATAAAAATTAAAACAAAAAATACTGATGAGCGCAATGAATATCTGATGTATAGCATTTTAATACGGTACGCAGAATGTGAAGATCTTATTTGGATCATAGAGTTTATAAATGTGTACCAACATACATATTCTCTGGTTTGGGAAAGATTGTATCTACACATGGAGTGGTGTATTTTTTCGAACCACCTAGAAGAATAAAAAACAAAATCAACAACTTCGTCCAACATATTTCATATGTAAAAGACGCAAAGAGGAATATTGCATCATATAGTGCTAAATTAGTTTGTATTTTATCTCCATTAATTTGGTTAACTTCTCTGTTTACGTAGTTTTATTAATATTTGTTGTTGAATATTTTTCCAAAAAAAAAAAAAAACTATTCTCGAAAGATTTTGATGTGGATCAATCAATAGATGTAAAAACAAATCTATATAGGAAAAGCCAATATGTATACTTATTTTCGAATAATTGTGTATAGATAAACATTGATATAGGATCGTGACAACTAAAATTTGAAGAGGATCGTAGTTCCTTCATGTAATTCATGTGATCGTCTAATAGGTATATGAGAAAAGGATCGGTTACTAAAAAACTATCAAATATACTAGGGATATTGAACAAGTTTGCTATTGAAATTAGGTTTTCTGTTTATAAAGAACAAAGTTTTACTTCTGTGTTTGTATTAATAAACTTTATCAAAATTCATTATTGTATATAAAATGTGTTTTAATAGTGCAGAAAGTTCTCTATGTTTACGACACGAATATTGGATGTTTCAGGACGTGTCCAAAGGAATCAAACAACCAAAAATGATATAAGAATATCTTCAATTCCATTCAATTTATTTCAAAATAGAGTTTGGAATAAATAATTTTCGATTGCACTCTACTTCTAGTTCACAATGAAGTAAAAATGAAATTCATTCAAAAATAGATTAATAGTTTTATTTTGTTACTTATTATTCCATTTTCACTTTAAAATGAAGTATAACTAGAACATAACTTAACTCCATTATTAAGTTACTTACTTTTAAAAGAAAAATGAAATAATATATTGGAAGTGTTCTAAGGACATCTCTAACTCAATTCCAATTTTTACTCCAAAATAGAGTAAAAGAGAATATAGAGTAGAAAACACTTTAACCCAGTTCTATTTTCCATTCCATAATAGAGTTTACTGCACAAATGAAGTAATCTATTTTTTTTTTGTTCATTACTCCATTATGGAATGTGATATGAAATAGGAATGAAGCATTTTTACTCCTTATTCACTTTTACTCTATTTTAAAGGAAAAAATAGAGTATTACATTAGTGATGTTCTAACACTCCTTATAATTCGATGCAGATTTGTTAAATCATTAAAAGAAACTACACAAAACAATTTGTTTTAGGGACACATTCTGTTTTAGAAGCTTAACACTTACGAGTGTTCATTGTATTATGATAATAGAAATCATATTTTATACTTATATATCTCTTTAAGGTTTATGCGATTTTGGTTATTGATTAATGATTTTTGTTTGTTTGTATTCTTACAAAGATTCTTCAGATTTGATAATTATACTTTGTACTGTTGTTTCTAGCTAATTTTAAAATATGTAAATAGTATTTTAAGGAATATAATACTTAAATATGAATTCTTCTATTATTTATAAAGGAAATCTTTTAGTTCGTTTCTATAAAAGAATATTACAATATAACACTTATAAATAAATATTCTTTGAATTATTATATTTTGGTTTCAAAATTAATTTTATAATCCAATTAATTTCTTATAAATTAATAAAATAGCACCATCTTAACATTATAAATTTATAAAGGTATTAGAGTAGTTTTGTTTTGGTTTTAGAAATTTTGTTCTAATTTATGGTTAGCGAATAGTGATTTCTAAATTATTGATTCACATAATTAAAAAAAAAAAAGGCATTTTAGTATTGAAAATGATATGTTTTGGGATTTGAGGTATGCCTTCAAATATTTAAGAATCCATTAATATGGACATCAAAGACTTGCATGCTGTTGAATAGGTATGGCGTTCAAGTGTGCAATCGGGTTCAGTTTTATCAAGTTTTAGATTTTGGGGGCTGGAATATAGCTCTTTTCAAATATTCTGAAAATTTGGTTCAGATTTCATCGGGTTTAGTTTGGATGCAATAACACATCTTAAATCTCATTGAACATATTTTGAATTCAAATAGGTTTCGGTTAACCAGACACTTGTTTGCGACTCCAAGGTACACACTTTGGTTCACAAACTTAGTAAAATTAAATATTTTTTTACTACCAAAGACTTGGTGGCATGATTAATAAATTTATTGTTAAGAATAGAAAAACATAAATGAGCTAAACATAACAACTAACAACTCTGCAAACTAAAATATTATTTAAACGTAAAAAAAAACAACATTATTTAAATTTCAGAAGTGAACTTATTCATAATCAAACTTCAAATGTAATGTCACATCCTTAAAAGGTTTTAGAGTTAATTATACATGATATAATTTCTTACTTAAGTACTTGTTGAGATTTTATAGTATGTTAGGTACATGTTCAAGATTGAGCTTGTATGTTTTTTTAGGTTTTTGAATATTTGAGTTTTCGAATTATTCATTTAGTTTTGGGTTAGGTTTGGATAAAATCCAAAACCCAATATACCATAGAACAAAACTCAACTGGATGTTTTTGTCAGATTCCCTTCGGTTCGGATTTATTTGTTCGGGTTGGATTGGTTTATTGGCCAGTCCAACTATTAAACATTGATGACAACTAAATCCATACTAGTGTCGGAGTTAAATTCAGGATATCTATTCTTCTAGAAGCGCATATAGTTGTCACCACTTTAAGTGGCTGTGGAGGAGAGGTGTCCATGATATCTTCTGAATATTTGTTTGATGGCCTTGTTATCAATGACGCTGGTCATGTAAATCTTATATTTGTTGATCGTTGTTCGCTTAACAACTCATTACTAAATTGGTATTTTGGTTTTACAGCTTTAGTTAGAACCTGCAACTACCTCGTAACTAGTTCAGCAAAGACTGCAAAATCAAGTGGGAAAGCACATATAACTTAACTATATTTCATGTTTTGAACAATAGTAAATCAGAGACTGACAGTGAGGTTAGTTCATAGGTCTCAACATGTTTCCACTATCCACTTTGGTTAGGTAAGGTTCAGAATTTTTTTCGAATGATACATTTTGTCTTGTTGGTGAAATATGCACATTATTGTTGAGTGAATGCAACGTTACATATTTGATTGGTTCAAACACCAACATTGAAATGCACATGTCGTTAGACAAAAAGTAGTGTAAAAACTGACAAAAAGAACCCACATGAAAGTATTCTCTTGAGTTATTTGATCACATTTACATAGACACACAGGTTCTTTTGTTTCAAAAGCTAATATCCAGATTTGGTGGAGAAGAACCTGCTGACTCCTCTAGAGGCTTTCTCTGGTGTTGGATTACCAGATGAACCTGACCTTGAGAGCCTTGAACCCACTCGTGATGGCGATGTCATTAACTCACTAGTCTCTGAGCCAGAAGGACAATTTGGAGATTCCATAAATCTAGGTACGTCGTTAACCCAAGTGTCAGGTAAATCTTCTTCGTCTACGGCATAGTTCTTGGTGCCTAGTTCATCCTCAGAATAGGACTCACTCTGTCTTTCTGGTGGCCGTAATGACTTCAGCTGCTTCCCCAACACAAATATGGTCTCTTGACACTCCGCTAACTTCTCTGCTGCTGCCGTTAACTCTCTCTCCTGTACATGTTAGTCCGTTAACTCAAAGCTTCAGTGTCCTAATAAATCAGTGAGTGCAGAGTCTATTGATATGTCTTCTTGTGTCTGTGATTAAATATGTATATAATGCACCTAAACTGGTTGTTTGTAGTATGAACAATGAGCTTCTTTACAAGTTTATTTGGATCAAGAATCTAGAGCTATGAATTGAAATGCAGAAAAGAAGCTAAATTTATTGAGCTGAAGCATTAGAAGCACAAGATGATTGGCACTGGAGCGAAAACATTACCTGTTTGGTCTTGATATCAGCTTCTTCGTCCTCTACAGCAACCAAAGAAGTGTTCCTGCTTCTGTGAAAAAAAGTGAAAATATATAACTATAAATACGCTACTTAACACTAAACTGGATGATTGGAAACATCTAGACTCTTTACTAATACTACACACCTTTGAATTTGTTCTTCAAGTTCATGGCACTTCATAATAGCTTCTTGGTGATTGCGTTTTTCATCCCCAAGCTCATTCTCTAAACTCCTTACCCTTTCCTTAAGCTGGTTCACATCAATCTCTAAATCAGCTGCACGTGTTTCAAGTGATCTATATGACTCAGTCATACATCTGAGTTGCGTATCCGCCAAGCTGTTTGACCTCTGAGCAGAATCTAACTGTGATCTAATCTCAGCTAACATCTTCTCAGATACTTGTAACTGACACTTCAGCTCCTCAATATCCACTGCCATCTTTTCCTTTTCTGATTTCAGTTCTTCTATTTCCTGTAACGTGGACTCTGATTCATACCTCAAAACTCTGTTTTCATCACATGGAACCTCTGGCTCGTTGTGGACGCATCCATTTTGATATATTTCTTGGGATGGATCTTTATCTACAGCCTTGCTCTCAGGTAGTGCAACTTTGTCTATGCAATCTGGACTTACAACTTCAACCAATGAGGAAGCAAGACCCTTAAAAGTTACCCTTAGTGCCATGGTCTCGTTGAAGACATTAGCAAGATCCGAAACAAAATCGTCCAAATTTTGATGACCACTTAAAACATGGTTGTACGTGATGGAGAAGCCATCGATCAGTTCAAGGAAATCATTTCCCTCGATCACAGTATCCTCACCTGCCCTTACCTCTTTTCGTAGCAACGAAACAAAATCATGAATCTGAGAAACAGCTGTTTTCACATCTTGGTGGACGCTCTGCAGCTTTTGTTCTGCCTCTTCGTCAGGATGATCCTGCACATCAGAAGGCTTCTCCTGGTCCATAGAAGCATTCACATCTTCCAAAATGCATTTTACATCTTCAACAATCTTTCCTATGTCAGTATCAGAAGATACAGATTCAAGAACCTTTGATATTCTAGTTCTGAATTCCATCACTGCTGGACTACCTCTAATGGAATCCTCAAGTTCGGTAAGAGCCTCAACATTCACCACTTCTGACTTTTGATCACCTGAAGAGTCTTTGGAATCCATACTACCATTTCCACTACAAGCTAATTTCTCCATTTCAAGAAAATCATCCATGAGCTCCACATGACTACTAACACTCTCAACTCTCTGCAATGCGGCCATCTCCTTCTCTTTCTTGGTCTGTTGTTGTGATGGATTTGTTGACAAAGATCCACTGCAGCTTCCAGAATCATCATTCCCATCTTCAGAAACAGAGATCGAACTTGATGGATTGCTCGTCTTTGAGGACTTCTGAGAATTGATTTGCTGCAATTGAGCTTCCAAGCCTTGAAGCTTACTGTTGCTCTGGGCACAAAGATTCCGTGACTCCAACAACTCACTATTCCGCTTTGCTAAAGCTTCTTTAAGCATTTTCATCTCTTCTTCCATAGCAAGTAAACGTTCTGTTAAAAACTCATTCTCTTTCTGGAATTTCTGTGAATTATCGACAGAAGAAAACTCAGAACCAGAAGATGAATATCCTCTCGGAGACTTGCCTGGACTCGCAGCTTTGCTCGGAGATCTCTTTACTCTGGTGTCTACGCCTAAGCTCTCAACCTCCAGCTTCATTTGAGCAAGTGCAGCTGGTCCCGGAAGCTTTTTCCTCACAAGACTTCTAAGTCTCTGACACTCTCCTTCCAACTTAGCTATCTTCTTTACTCCTTCCAAGTGTTGCTTGTTGGCAACATCTGCAGATCTAATACACATGTTCTTCTCTTCGTTGCGTATCTCCAGCTCTCTAGAGACTACATGGACTTCATACTTGAGAGACTTTATCTCCCTTTCACACATTTCTAAATTGCTCTTCAGGGTCTCGATCTCAGCATCGGCTCGTGACTTCTCCTCGCTGATACTCACCAACATGTTGGACCGTTCTTGTAAGGTTCTTGATAAGGCATCACTATCCGCTGCAGACCTTAGTAGCTCCTGCTCATAGTCAGAGATCCTCTTCTCAAACTCCATCGTTAGTTTTTCAATCTGCTTACTCTTGCTTAAAGCAACATCATGCAGATTCACTTCATGGTCTTTCTTCAAGTTCCGTATCTGCCGCATACACTCTTTCAACGCACCGTCCAAATGCGCTGCACGATCTTCAGCTGTGAGTTTCGAGAGAGTAACAGACTCCAAGGTGTTTTTCAATGTCAAAGCTTCAGCATCAGCTTTCTCCCAACCTGCCACAGCATCTTCAGCAACTTTGCAATGTTGCTTCACTAAAGCCTCTTTGGTATCTATTTCCTCATTAGCAGCAGCAAGCTTTTCGCTCAAATCTTCTTTTTCCTCATTCAGTCTCTCCACTTGTTCAGCATAGCTCTGAACCTTCTCATCATACGCCTCAATCTGTTCTTCAAAGCTTTTGACTTGCTCCTCGTAAGCTTCAACTTGACTCTCGTATGATTTAATCTGAACATCGTACGTCTTTATCTGCTCTTCGAGGCCAGTGAGATGCGTATACTGCTCCACGGAGATTTGGACATACTTGGGCTTCTTACCAACCTCCTGTTTCCAAATAAAAATAAATATATTAGCAAACGAAAGTTTCATCAGAATCAATCAAAAGAGTTAAAAAAAAATTAACCTTTTCAAGTTGAGGATGAGAAGTATCAGCAGCAGCAACTGCAGACTCAAGCACTAAGGTTGTCTTATCAGATGACTTTTTCTTCCAAGGCCAACTTCGTCGGTCCATATCAATCTATAGTGTAAAGATACAGATTTAATTAATTGAAAAATCAAGACTCCTAGGACCAATAAACAAGAGTTAATCAGGAGCTCATGTTGCAGAATTCAAGCGAACCCAGATCTGAACAAACCCCTAATAAAACACCCAAGTAAGATTTTAAAACAAGGAAACATGTGGAAAAGTTTCTTTAAAGAGTAAGAAACGCTGACGACTTGTGTAAAATATCTGAGATGCATCGTAGATTGCTAAATTAGGAAAGAAAAGAATGTAAAGGAATCTTGCCGACACAGAAAACTGAAGACAAAAAAAAGAAAACAAATTTGAGTAAATCTAGTCTTTAGATTAGCACCAAAGCTTATGAATCAGTGAATCACACAGATATGACGAAGATGAATTTGAATGTCGGAAAGCTTGCTTACATGGGAGAAAATGTAGCTTCTGGAAGTGAGAGCTGAAGCTTTGTTTGTTGTTTCTTCAACTATTGGACATGCGGTTTCGGGCAAAATGCAGATCTGAAGAGATCGAGTTTCGACTTAAACTAGTTGCTCTCTGCGTTTTGATAACCGACAAACGAGTTCAGCGTCGGCGTGGTCGGGAACCCTGTGGCTGTTGCGGCGGCGGGAAAGAGAAGAGAGAGAGAGTGGCGATGGTGAACAAATGGTTCAGTTTCGTCTTCTTCTTCGGTATGTGTCCAAAAAGATTTAGTGGAAAACTTTTAAACCCAGAACGTCGCATAAAGTTCCGAAAAGGAAAGCATCTTCTTTTTTTTAGTTATCTATTTAATTTTTTGGTCAATAATTAAATAAAGTAAAATAATCAACATAAAATATTTGTTTTGGTATTAATAATAACTATGAGATAAGGGGCCATCTCTACCTAACATATTCAACTCAACGAGTCCTTTTTGGCTTTTGGTTAAGAAATGAATGAGGAGAGAACCATTTGGCAGTCAAGTCACTATACCATCTCTAATAATAAAGACTAGGATAAGACATCCGTAAGGTAAATGTATATAATTAAAATTTAAAATTTTAATATTGATAAATTTAAAATTTATATATGATTGTTTTTATATGTATTTGAAATTTTAGAATTTTTGAAATTTTATATAATTATCTATACGTAGGATCAGAAACAATTGTAATTAGAACTGTAGCTAAAAGCTTAGAATTGAATAGACCTGATTTCATATATTTTTTTCATTTTTCAATGTTCGAGTGATGGAAAATAAACGGAGTGTCATTGAGTTTTATTGGTAGAGTATTAGCAAGTTCCCTAATGTTTTCTTAAGAAGCAGTTGGTAAAATATTTGCATTTAAAATAGAAATTTTCAAAACTAATTTAATATAATTTATTAGTGTAATAATATTAGAAAATTATATTTTTTTACAAATTATATTAAAAAAAAATTTATAAAAAATTAAGTTAAATTTTAAATTATTTTTAAAAATAATATTTTAAGTTTTTCAAATAAAAATAAACAATTTAAATTTAATAATGATCATGATTTAACATAACCATAATGATTTTAAAAATTAACTTAGTTTTATATCATGATTTAACAATTTAAAAATTAATTATGGTTATGAGAAGTTTACGTTCACGTGTCAATCCTATTTATCTTCAATTTTTTTGCTTGTTGTGTTTTTTTTATTTTGGTTATTACTCGATTTAAATATTTATTTTGAAGTTTATCCTCATTTCGTTTGTTTGTTTTGATCTGGGATTTAGAAAATTCTTAATATTTAAAATAATTAAAGAGATACATACTTAGGTTAAGATCTGCACTTTATGCACAATAAGTATTTTATATTTATTATTTATTTTATATTTTTCTGCATATTATAAAATAATAAAAATATATATATATATTAAATAACTAAGAAATCAATTACTATTATGTAATAAATTGGCGTATGCATATAAATTTGACTATCAATCTTGTTTATTCGCAATTAGGGTAAATAAATCAAAATAATCAATCTTATATATTGTATATGATATACAATTAAATTTAAATGATATAAACATAGTAATATAACACACCTTTAATATGGATATCTATTAAATGAGGTTTCTACTCATATGATTTTATGATTATTTTCATATTTGTGTAACAAAACTTTACACCAATGAATTTTTTTTCAATGTGAGATGTTTAGTAACTTCAATAATTTATAATCATTTAAAAAACAATGAAATATTTCAAAACTAAAATATTAACTTTTCAATATATATTCGATGCAAATATCAAATATAAGTATGTATTTTCATACGATGTATAGTTTAAGTTAAACGATATTAAATAAACTAAAATTATTTCTTCATATGATGTTATGATCATTATATTTTAATATAGAAAAAAATTATGACCTTGATCCTAAAAGTTTATGTGAGACTTTTAACAGTTTTAGCAATTTATACTCATTTTGAAAAATTTGAAATACAACATACACAAAAAAAATCTAGATTTTATTAAATGATTAATGTAATTCTGTAATTTATTTAATAATAAAGAAATAAATAAAATGAGAAAAGATATACAGATTGTTATCAAATCTTTGTTGTTTAAAATCATTAATTGTCATATATATTTTAATCACATTAGTTAATTCTGTAGGTCTTATTTAAGGAAAGCATGCGAAACAATAAATATTTGATATATGCGAGCAACTATAACCTATAAAGTATTATATTGCTAGAGAGTATAATTTTTAGACTATACATTATATTACATGCTCTAGAATCCTTTTAAATTGAAATAGAAAACAAGGAGCTATGCCATATAAGATTGGAGTTATTTTTAATTATTACAAACTTTAGGTTACAACTTTTTAAATGATTTTCTATTAATATATAAGGGACTAGTTGGATGATTGCGATTATGTAAGCGTAATTTTAATAAATTTTTTATTTATTTACTCTTTTATAAATTTACCAAAATCATATTAAGGCTTTGACTGAATAATAGGAACAATAAAGAAAGGAATGAAGAGAAACAAAATAATAGGAACACTTGTTCCATGTTGTTCCTCCCCGGATTTGATAATGAATGATTTTATTCTTTGATTCCTTAAATTAAAAGGAATGAGAAGAAATATTGAAGAAAAATTATTCCTTATAAATGGTGTCAAATTTAAGGAATGGAGAGGAATTAACTATTATGATTCCTTACAAATGGTGTCAAATTTAAGGAATAAAGAGGAATTAACAATTCCCATACATTCTTTTGGTTACCGGTCAAAGCCTATGTATATTTATTTTTACTAATTTCAAATTTTTAAAATATCTAATAACTACTTTAACATATTTTATAATATTATGTATTGTCAAATACACCAAATTAGTTATTTATGTTCTATTTCCTTTATAAAAAAAATTAAGTTTGTAAGATATAAAATAATATTGATAAAGACAAATTGATAACCTGCACGCATACACGCATGCATGTATTTTAATTACTAACTATTTTTGCATATTATTTTGTTCATTCTATAATAATTACATTGTGTCAAGTCCAAAAATTGTTACATGTTATAGATTATGCGTATCGTATCAAGGTGTTGATAAACTAGTTTTATAAAATTCCAATTAATTAAAAGTTGTGGCTGAAACAATACATAAAAAGTTATTTCTGATCCACTCTTTAACCAGCTATAGAAAAGACATAATTTAGTAAAAAAATTATAATATATTCTTTTTAGATTTAATCATGTTTCATTTGTGTCTCAATATAATAACTTTTGTTGATTATCTGAATATAATTATTTTAAAATAGGATTTTGGCGGAAAACACGTTTTTACACTCTTAACGGGAAAACACATTTTTACATTTTTGGTGGAAAAACACGTTTTACGATTTTGGCGAAAAACATATTTTTTTTTGATTTTGGTAGGAAAACGTGTTTTGCAGTTTTGGCGGGAAAGCGTGTTTTGTAGTTTTGGAGGGAAAATGTGTTTTTGCAGTTTTGGTGAGAAAATATGTTTTTGTGAGAAAATGTGTTTTTGTAGTTTTGCTTAGAAAATAAGTTTTTTACGGTTTTGTCGAAAAATCATTTCTTTTGCAGTTTTAGCGGGAGAATAAATTTTCATTTTTGGCGAAAAAACGTTTTTGTATTTTTGGCGAAAAATGTGTTTTGGAAGAAACTGTGCTTTTTCATTTTTGAAAGAATTTTTTTTTTGTTTGTTGTTATGGCGAAAAATACGTTATTCTGATTTTGGCAAGAAAAAGTATTTTTTTTCTCCGAAGATCAAATCCTTTTTGTTGGAGATCTCTATTGAATATTATTATTGTTGCTAGTACTCTGGAGAACAGACGAACGAAGGTTGATAGAATTTGCCAACATTGTGGTACTAAGGATGAAACCCCAAACCATCTTCTTTTTACATGTGAAGTGGATAGACAAGTGTGGGCACTCTCAAATTTCCCTTCACTGTTGAATGGCTTTCATCATGACTCCATTTATGTGAAATTTTATTACATGTTTCAAATGAGCAAAAGCATAAAAATCCATGTGGAGATTAAAAGATGCTTTCCGTGGATCCTTTGGTTCCCTTGGAAGAACAGAAACAAGTTTTTGTTTGAAGGTTCTGAATATAAGGTTGTGGATATTTTTGACAAAGCTTAGTATGAATCTGCTATATGGTTCTTAGCGCAACAATTAGATAGAGAAGAAGAAAGAAGAGATGTTGAGCCAGGTGAAAAAAGATCTTGGAATTATCCCCCTGATAACTGAAAAAAATGCAACTATGGGTTTAAGTGGTCCAAAAAGAAACAAATTATGGGAGCCACTTGGATTATTAGAGACCATAATCGATAAGTTTTGTTGCATAGTAGACTTTTGCTGATGTTGTGGCAAAACTTGTAGCTCTGTGTTTGGACGTTGGAATAAATGGCTACTCATCGTTTGGACATGGTGATCATTGCTGATGAGGATACCACTCTTCTCAAAGTTATGCTCAGACCGAAAACTTGGCCATCTTTCACATCATAGTATCATGATATTAAAATTCCTCTTGATTAGTATCAGATGGTGGAAAAGTCAAATGGAATCTCGAAGCTCAAATAGAAGTGTTTTTCTCATTGCTAAAAGTGCATTGCAGATGCAGTGGAGTCAATCTTATGTAGCAAGAGACGCTCCTTGTTGGTTGGCTTAATTTATTTTGAATGAGAAACTTTAAACATCTGTTTTGTTGGTGTTTCATTTTTACTCAGATCTGTGGTTTTTTTTGGGATGAATGGGTGTTTGATGGTTTTGTATTAATTTTTGGGGGGTTAGGTTTGGTCATTGTTACCATGGTCCTATTTGGTTGTAGTTCTCTTCTTTTGGTTTTAATATGGAATATAAACATCTTCGAGGAAAAAAACAAATAGAATATGATTTACAACTGATAAATCCCTAGTAATAATAATAATAGGACTGGATTTCTTTTCACTAAGCATGGCTAGCTTAACTGAAAAAAATTTACTTGCAAAATGTTGTTATCACGACAATACAAATATGCTTAATATAATAAACAACATGGAAAGAGGACCGTTTTGAGTTTCATGCTCTAGTAAATTTTCCGATCCTTTTGTGAAGCTTAGCAAGCAACCGGTGGCACATTTTTGTATATTGGTATATCATATTCGTTGTTTACTTGAAAAATATTGTTATTAA